ACCCGCTTAAATGTAGATCTGTTGGATGAATAATGAAACTCCAAACTCCAAGCAGTTGTGTTCAGCAAATAGTATATTGTTTCTCAAACCACATACACTCGCACAGAGGCATGCAGACGCGTGCCTCGCGCACTCACGTCCGACCTCCTTCACAACCAAGAACCTTCCCTTGATGCATTTCTAGATAACAAAGGACGTCATACCCGCGCCCGGACAACCACACCTGCTGCCCACATGTAACAACAACTCCCTCTCAACCGTTTCGCATCTCCATCATCCATACTACATCAAACACGCTACAGCCGACCAACACATTATGCAACCACAGTTTGCACTCCCACGTACTAACCATGGACTTTTGGACTTTGCGGAGGCCGACTGTAATATTGAAGTATTGTTGTGTTTTGCAGGCACAGATGATGAATGTGTTTGCCTCACTAATATCAAAACTAGAGAAATTTGCTCAGACCCTGCAGGCGACTGTAACTAGCGATTTTCTCTCTCTGGAGACGAGGCATTTGCAGATGGAAGCAGAGGTAAAGGTGTCTACTAAATCGTAGTTTAGACGTTTCACATCATGTTAAGTGCATTCTAGTTATTGCGTTCTATTTGGTGCGTATATACTGGCAGAAAAATGTCGCACTATAATATTCATTTCATTTGTGGTAATGATAATATAAATATCATATTTCAGTATTAGAAATTATATACTATGACTTTTATTTTAAATATCAGAAAAATATTGCACTAGTAATTTCATTCGTGGCATCACTATTAATAATATAAATATCGCATTTCAGTATTATAAATCGTCTACGACTTGTCTGTGACTTGTCGCACTAGTAATTTTATTCGTGATATTAATAATATCGTAATTCAGTCATATAAATTGTCAAGGAATCGTCCTAACCTGCAGTCGTACACTCTCCTAATTGCTTTCATCCATTTTTCAGTTGCCAAACAAGGATGCTATTGAAGCTGTGTGGGCGAAGGCGCAGAGCAGCTATGCTCAGTCCGGCAGGGAGATAGGTGACATGATCGAACTGAAGCTGAAATACGTAGCGTCGTTCGCACGATCGTTCACTCCCTCTCGACCCAAGTGAAGAGGCAGTGGCCATGTTGGTTTTTGACTCGGCGCATATGTGGACGACGTCGATGACATGAGTGTGTGCATGGATAGCAGCAGCAGCAGCAGCAGCAGCAGCAGCAACAGCAGCAGCAGCAGCAGCAGCAGCGTCAGCAGCAGCAGCAGCAACAACAACAACAACAACAATAACAGCAACATGTGTGTTTAACTCTGAGAAACTCTGTGCTGTTAGTCCACAGCGGTGTGTTTGCCGTGTGACCGAGTGGCTGTGAGAGCAGACATAATACAATACAGTTATAAAGGAGGAATGGTGCCATTGCCGCGGCACTGCGATGAAATTGATTGCATCTAAAATTTTCGTCATGTTACCGATGATGATGACCTCTGATTCAAAATAACCCATCATGCTTTGAGATTGAGCTTTTACGACGGTTTACTTGTTTGTAGATACTTTGTATTGATAATGTGTTATTAAATAGAAAAACCTTTTTAAAACAAGTTAAAATTCTTTCTGTCTTGTCTTGATTCTGTGTTCGACGGAAGTTATCATGATTATCATGCAATGCACTTTCACAGGGATATCCGTGTGTAAATATAGTTACGACCTTGCAGGGTCCCCACAGCCCTTGAGAAAGTCCTTCCAATATCATTGAAAGTCCTTGGAAATAGGTCCAAGTCCTTATTTTATGTCTAATGTCCTGGAATTTTACATTTTGACCTAACATAAAAAGCAAATCTTCATTACTGGTTATCTAGCTGACTGACCCTATTCCAAATATTCGATAAAAATGTTAAATTTAATCCAAAATTCACATGTCATTGTCTACTAATGTACTCTACCATGGGTTGGAGGCTGAAGAAGATCTTTAATTTCACCAGCTCAACAGGTGCTATTGGCAAGAAATTTATAGGGAAGGGATTGGTTTCATTGAATTAGGTGTAAAACAACTATTTTTACTTTATATATGAATCTAAGGTATATATGATGACAATAAAATGCTAAAACTACTTGTCACAGATTGCGCTTTAAAAAAACATGTCCTTGAAAAGTTTTTGAAAAAATAATTCACACTTGTGGAAACCATGTACTGAGTAGGGCTATACCTAGCAGTAATAATGTACCATATAGAATCAACCATCACGAAAAACCAAGAAAATATTAATAATATCTTTTCATTCAATATCTAGTATTCTATCTATATCTGATCATGTGTATGGTACTTTAATCTAATATACTATCAGCGTTATTATGGTCTCTCGGCTCGAATATGTGTCCCCCTTTCTCACGGATGGTCTATCGCCCACCGACCAGTCAAAGCGTGCGAAAAACTTTTGCACGGTAAATGGCGGTTATTTCAACCTCAACTTTTCACCCCCCAAAGCACAATAATATATTATACGGCTTATCTATTTTAAGTATGCGTTTATACGTCACATAAGCACAATATACACACAGCACTAACGGAGCGCGCACGCGGTATGGTTCGCACGCACGCGCTGGCGCGTGCTGTATGTAATTTAGGCGTAACATTAAAATTTTGTGCCTCGGGGCATGAAAAAGTTTTCGGCTTGAAATACGGCCATTTACCTGCAAGATTTTGTCCATGCATTGACTTTGGTCCGTTGGGCGGTATACCATCCGCGATGCAGGGGAGTAAGAAGAAATAGAGTGATTCGCTTGTTAATGTTTAGCTCCCTGACATCAGGCAGATGAAAGCGGTCATCATGAAGAACGGCCAACTACCGGCGTTAATTATTATTAAATCTTTGATTGCATGTAAATTTTCAAACTACAACTATACAATGTACTGAGACGGGAGACTGAAGACGGAGCAAAAATTTTTGATTAAATGCAATAGTGTTGAACAGTTTAAAAATAATAAATTACCGTGAGTGATACAGTACATATGTGTGTGATACAATAGTTTTGAGTCTGAACATAGTTACTGATCAGCGGTTTCACATATTGTTACAGGACCGTCACATGGAATCAACGTGGAATGATAATATGAAACGACTATTTGTGTACGTCTGTAGGTAATCGGCGCAGCGATAGCAGCTGTTTAATCGGCGCGTCGAGGCACTCGCGCGAGTAAAACCAACTAATTTGTTACTTATATATATAGGAATCTTATGAGACCATATATAATGAGCTATTAAAAAGCTAAACTAGACTACTTGTCACAGATTGTCCTTGCAAAAAAAAGCATGTCTTGGAAAAGTATGTTGAAAAGAAAAATTAAACTTCAGCACTTTTGGTGGGCCGCAACATATGCCTTGATACATAATGTAAGCCCTATCTCTTTATCTAAACATGGGACGGGATATATACCAGACACCGAAAATACACCCTTATCTGAGACAGGACTATGTGTTGCTCTCGACATCAGACATCCGGGCAAGGAGGTTCGGTCACCGGGAGGGAGAGAGGTATAGGTGACGATGACGGCATAAACGTGGGGTAGGAGGAGATGAGAGTAGATAGAGTTCGTCTGCAAGCGCTTGGCAGAAACCATCAAGTTGCAATCATAGCAGATGTGATTAATAATATATCTCGTGCAATTAACTTATGATCATTACATCTTAGTATTATATGGAGGAGGAAGACTCTTGATGGACGCATTATGAAGTTGTGCAACATGTGTGCACCTAACCGCCACCGCGGTTTACTGGTTAGCTTGGGCGTGGTTTTCTGGGTGGATTCCCTTGGCATAAAAGTACCTGATCATAAGCACGACTGGCCTCGCAGACGCAGTGAGCTTTCTCCTCGGGGAAAAAAACTCCTCGGTTTATTTAACAAGATATATTACTCATCGATTTCATAAAATACCTACTGACAGCAAGTATACGCCAAAACACCTGCCTATAAATTCATGTATTGGAACGCCCCAGCAATTGAATTTTACTTTACTAATATATAATATTAATTATATTAATTATATATAATATAAAGTACCCGCTAAGGACATCCAGTCGTCCAAATACTACTGTAAAATGAAAAAATTTACATTAGACACGCACGCACGCATGCACGCACGCGCCACGCACGCAGGCCCGCACGCACGCACGCACGCACGCACGCACGCGCCACACACTCAGGCCCGCACGTACATATATACACACACCTAGGTGTAAAATATGATGAAATTATCATTAAATATCAGAATTATTGCACAGCCTTGCACCTGCAGTCTATAAAATTAGCATTGAAAGAAGAATGATTTCTTGCGAGCTTCTATAAACCTTTTTAGAACACCTAGGAAGATCAACTTTAACCGAAATGACGTTTGTATGTCTCTTTGCCATGTGAATTGTATTAACTAAAACTTGTATAACATGGTTTGTTGTGGAAAATGTCTTTTTCTTGTTTTCCGATATTCAGCCATACATGTATAGCCAAAATACAGTAAAATATATTTTTTAGGTAAAAGATTTTCGCCACTTCTTCGCCCTTTTTCATGAGTCGAAGCCTAACTCATGAATGGTTTTAATAATGACTCGGTTGCTACTGGAAAATAAAGGCAGCAGAGCACTAGACTGTCATAGACCCACCCCCTAAACTATCCTTCATATTACTAGCGTCAGTATCGCCGTAAGTAAACAGTAATATCATTTTCGTTCGGTATATGATACTGTATATATGACGAACTCTGCAACTGCACAAAATAACTACCTCTCTTTTATACTTCCCTATTATCTACTCCTGATTATATGTATATGCTTATATATGGTCTGTTACTAGGATCATATAATTGTACTTGGCCGTAGGCTGAGCAAATTCCTACGGGGGGGGGGGCAAAATTTCATGACTCAACCGTGTAATGATGAGCGACGCAGACAAGGTTTTCACGGATAAGTGACAAAGAAATCACGTTAAATTTGCTCCAAAATCTATTGGGGGCAGCTATACCCCTTGCCCCCCCTCCCCCCAGAGGCTACGGCCCTGTTCTACTAATATTTTATCCTGTATCAAAATGTTATGCTAATGTTAACTCTGACTTTCTTCTAGCGGTTATTGTACTACATGTAAGTCAGAATTAAGGTTATGATAGCTTGCCATGTTTATGTTTACTTACAATGTTAATTACAATGTTAATTACATGTTACGTTATTTCAGCATTCGTGTTTCCAACCTTTTTCTCAATTTTGCAAGAATCTTGTGTTACTTCCGTGCTTATATATCTTCGTCATTTGTACCAGTATGTTGGAGCAGTAACAGCTTCCACTTTTATCTTGGCAGGTTGAACATAAATGTGTATTTGAACATAAATGTGTATTCTTTTTTAAATTATATATACTTTTATTAATTACGTTATATTAAATATATCCAAAATATAATAGTAGCTATAATCCTTTGCTTAATTTTCCACGAATTCCGTCGTATTAAACGTATTATTTATAAATCTGTGTTAATATCGCGTGAAGTAGCTATATGTCATATTTATACTAAAGTATATGTAAATGATTTCCGCAGATGCGAATTAATATCCACATCTCTATCTGTAAACGTCTATCGCATCTATCGCATCTTCATGACCTGTTACTATGACCATAATTGTACTATTATTTCATTCTCTCTGTGACAAAATGTTGTGCTTATGATTAATCTGATTTGAGTTCGAGTAGAATAATTATGGTTGTACGTATTACTAAAAAGCAATGTTATATGTCAAGGTAATATGTTATATTATATACCGTGATATTTTTAAGTATTGTAATAATCTGCATTAGTTTCTTTAAACATTTCCTAGTTTTACAAAACTCTTAAGCCCCGGTCACAACGAGCCCACGACGCATTTGTGCAACGACACGACAGAAAATTTGGGCAAATCGTGGGTCATCGGCGGTCGTCGCAAGACAGTCCTACGAAATTTTGAGCATCGTGGCATCGACTTGCCGTCGTGAGGCAAAATTGAACATGCACCATTTTCGTTGCACGATTTTTTGTGGTATCTATGTCTTCTGGTTGTCGTGAGTCTGTCCTACAACAGTCTTACGACAGTCTTGCGACTGTCGTGCGATAAATATCTTGTCGTGGGTCCCAGAAAAAAAATTTTTTAGTCAAACAATC